TATATATATGACTCGTCGGCTATATCCACACACTTCGATCAGTTATAGTACACATCAAGTCAAATGTCGTTATCGTTTTAACTAAGCAATAAGAATAAATCAGCAAAGAATAAAACCACTAGAACACTCTCATTGACTCATTCGTTCGTTTACTATGTGTTACATTTACAAACTCAAATAACAACCACATTTATATTTACAGATCCCAGCACATATCAGACTAACTAAACTATTCAATCATCCAAGTCTTTAGTCAAAACACTGAAAGATAAAATACCTCAATGAATAAATACTACTTTAAAGATGATGTATGTAAAGAAATGAATACCGATAAATAAAGTTCAACACAAATATGAGTATTACTACAATGATCGATTTCGAAGATATGTTCTATCCATCTGCCCTATACGTGTATGTATAAATTAAAGATTATTTATTTACAACCATCTGCATAAATACAACAATAAACACAGACACATCTTATTCGCTTCTAATCAATGCTTGCAGTCTCATTTGTTCATTCTTCTTTTCTCTCAATTCTACAAAACTAAACCGTATTTAATCTGAAACTCAGAATATATGTACACCAGAAGGAATGTGCAATTGGAGGCTGATAAGGTGGGAAGGAGGGGAGAGTAGGCAAGACTGGGGAATGACTCGAGGGAGGGGATGTGAAGCGTGAGGCTCGCAAATCGATAACGAAGGGGAGAACAACTGAGGGCTGCTTGTATAGATGAAGTGTAAAACAAATATCCGTCTTACCTTTACGAGGCCTAATCGTTTTTACTTACGGGTGCGTGCATTTGGTTTAGATTTAACAAAATGCAAAATAACTGCCAACAAGAATGGCTTACAGAAAAGAATTGAACGAACACAATACAAACAATAATATTTGTTGAGATGGACTTGATTGAATGCTGAACTAATTTTTTGTTTGAATATACATTCACTAATACGTTAAGATAAACTAACTCATTTCGTGCGAGCACAATGAATGAATCAAAATCAACACAATAAATCCGTGTACCATTCAAGATACACAACTGAATAAATCAATAAATAAACTTTACAATTCTGACATTACAATATTTTATCTCCTTATCTCTCAATTTCAGTTCGAAAAATGGATTTTAAAAAACCAAAAATTCTGATTCATTCTAAGATTTTTAAAAAATTAAATCTTCAATATGCTGCTTTTCTGTGCCATCATTTCAGCACACAGTGAGTGAGTAATTATAAATTCTTCCAAAAAAGCCAAAATGATCAGAAAGAATGTTGAATATTTTGACTATGAATTTGGGAATTTCTTGTAGATACACCGTGTTTTACAAACAAACCGTCAAACACAAACAATGTCATCCTTCGACTGCACTCTTCATGATAATACTAACCAATTAGTCACTATCACAAATATTCTATTACGTCACACCATTTATGTCTCAATGAATTCTTGAATCGCGATAGAGTAAAGATAATCAATGGTAACAGAAAAGGCAATAATAATGATAGCGTTAATAATGGTAAAACAACAAGAATATAAATAATACCAATAATAATAATAATAATAATAATAATAATAATAATAATAATAACAGTAATATTAATACCAATGAAAATAATATTAATAACAATAACAATAAAAATAAGTAATGCGATCGAAAAAAAACTAGCCTCACTAATGTGTCCACTTGTTCGGAGGTGTACACTTCAGTAAGCCGTGATTTTTGTTCTTTTTTCACGGTTCGTGCTGAAGATGGGGCTGAAGCCGGAGCTGGGGCTGGAATCATCATCGATGTTGATGACCCAGCGGTGGTTAAGGCGGCTATTTCGAGTTCTTCCTCAGGAATGGGCTCCATTTTGATTTCGACGATGAGATTTACAGTTGATTGTTAATTATGAATATGTGCTGATGAATATTCAATATATTTGCAGCTAACTACCAACGAATAATCCGTAAACTAATCAGCAACAATTGCTCCACCGTTCACTACTTCAATGACCACGAGATCGACAAAAACATATCCATACACCACTTCAATTGCTCTTCAATTTAATGCAACTTTAAGGATTTTGAACATATTTATTACTACGTATTATCATCACTTCTATCATCACTATTATTACCATTGAGATAAGAATGTTATCAAATTATTCCACCTCATATTCTACTACTAAACCACTATAAGACTATCATTATCATCAATATTATCATAAACAATATCAGAAATTTATGTTGTCTTGTCTTCGCTATTGTTTCTTTTCAAAACAAATCCTTTATTAACTTTATTTCAACTCATTCATCCGTCCACTCGCCGAGTACATACGTAATAAATCAGTCCATCAATAAATCAATGAGTCAAGTTCCAAATGTGTCCTTGAATAATCCCACAAACGATCAACTGATAAATTTAATCAAATGCTTATTTCACAAACAAATTAATATTCTTCTTTTTCTGCACTCATCAACCCACAAAAATTCTCATCATCATCGTCTTCATCCTACAACATTATCATCGCCTCCTCTTTCATTTTCGCTCATATTTTCTTGTTTTTTTTTTCAACTGATTATAACTAATGACGGACTGATTAATTAGTTCTTATTTTTTTCCAATTAATTAATTAATTGATTCGATTGTGCGTACTGACAACGAGAATAATTTGAAACGAGTGATTGCTTAGTTAACACTCTCGCATTCAATCAACCAACAAACAGATTTCTAGTTATATGCGAGTAGTTTTCGAGTATCTGCAACAATGTGCGCATCGGATTCCTTAGCCAGCTATTCCCCTATAAGTTCGCTCATCAACTTTACGGCTGGGCTTTCCCTCAATCTTCCCTGCCCACTCCTTCCAACACATCTCATCGATGGACTGCCCGGTCCCCTTCCCGAGCGAGCACGCCAAAAAAAATTACTATGCAATGAACAGTGTTCGTATTGAGCACTCTTCAGTGCACCCTGTATTAAGTGCACACAATATTTCATAGGGGGCCGTGTGACTGTGAAACATGTAA